CCTTGCTACTGTCGTCACTGACCATGACTTTGAGTCTACTGCTGCGTTTTCCCTAGTCACTGAGCTAGTCGACTTTCCAGCTAGGAGTCATCTCGACTACGTCGCGAGTCTTGTTACTGAGTCTGAGTCTGTCTGTCTCCGTCCGTCGGGGGTGAGCCTGCCCTTAGCAGTGACCTCCTTGAGGACAGGCAGTTTGAGCTTGAGTGACTTGTAGTCGCTTTACCTCGTTTCGCATCCATGTTGCTTTGCCCTGAGGGAGACCCGGATGCACCAGACACCCCTACCCCGCACTCTTCTGCTGAGGCGATCGCGGGTTAGTACTCCTCTCAGTGGCAGACAGCCATGGACGCAGAGATGGCTTCTTAGAAGTCCACAGGCACCTACGTCGACGAGGTTCCTCCTCCTGGGGCGAACATAGTCGATGGCATGTGGATTTTCAGGGTGAAGCGGCCACCGGGTTCTCCACCTACCTTCAAGGCGCGTTACGTTCCTCGAGGCTTCAGTCAGCGACAGGGGGTTGACTTCTTCCAGACCTTCTCCCCCACCCCGAAGATGACTACTCTTCGGGTGCTGCTGCACGTTGCAGCACAGTGTGACTACGAGATGCACTCCCTCGACTTCTCCACAGCTTTCTTGCAGGGCAGCCTTCATGAGGAGATCTGGCTACGCCACCCACCTGGCTTAACTGGGTCGTTTCCTGCGGGTACCCAGTGGAGCCTCCGGCGGCCAGTCTACGGTCTCTGCCAGGCGCCCCGAGAGTGGCACGACACACTGAGGACTACACTTGCGGCTCTTGGGTTTGCTCCTTCCTCTGCTGACCCGTTGCTGTTTCTACGCACCGACACTACCCTGCCGCTGTTCTACGTTCTCGTGTACGTCAACGACTTAGTCTTTGCTACTGCTGACACTGAGGCGCTGGCCCTATTGAAGGCGGAGTTGCAGGAGAGACACACCTGCACTGACATGGGTGAGTTGCGTAGCTATGTTGGCTTGCAGATCACCCGGGACAGAGCACGGCGCACCATTACCCTGACTCAGTCACACATGGTGCACCAGGTCCTTCAGCGCTTCGGCTTCCAGTTCTCCTCGCCACAGCCCACTCCTTTGTCTACCGGTCACTCGCTCTCAGCTACACCTTCGGACGAGTCCGTAGAGCCGAGTGGTCTGTACCCAGAGCTTGTGGGTTGCCTCATGTACCTGATGACGTGCACACGATCTGACCTCGCGTACCTGCGGAGATTCACCCTACAACGGTGGTGAGCTAGACTACAAGGTTGGCACGAACTACTAGGAGTGATCTAAGCTTTACTAGTTCCTTAGTGCTTGCACAATCACGGGAGAAATCGGCAAGAGTTTCCACTAGCAAAGTTGGAATTACAGAATTGTTGAAGAAGCAATTACAAGAAAGACTACGGCAGGCACCTAGCAACTCTGCAGCTAGCCTGGTCGACAGACAGCTCAGCATGGTCGACCGCGTGCCAGCGTTGCGTAGAGGAGCCGCGCCAGCACTGCAGAAAGGCGACCTGCCAACACAGCAAGTCGACGGTGTGCCAACGCTGCAGCAGCGCGGCTGTCCAGCGTTGCCCCGTAGAGGACAGCAGTGCGCACGCTCACAGGTGCGCGCAAACGATTGGCCCGACTTGCATCGTTGTGCATCCGTCGGCTATTGTCTGTGCGTGATGAGCCACATCGACTTCGGGATACCAACCCGAAGTCGCCTTCGTCATCGCGACCTCGACGACGTTCGCGTGCCTCCGTAGAATTCGTCGAGCAGGTTACCCTAGGTGCTTTGGTCGACTACCAAGTGCCTCTGGTTGACGGACCACAGCTCCCGTCGAGCTACCCCTTGGTCGACGGACCCCTTCCGTCGACCAGAACTGTCAGCTGTTGTCGACGAGCTCCCCTCGTCGACGGCTGCTCACTTCTCAGGTCGACGGACAGCTTCGTCGACCTCCCGGTCGAGCTGTCCCTCCTGGTCGACGGCCCATCTGTCGCCCAGACCAGTCAGTTGCAGCTGTCGAGCTCCCTGGTCGACAACAACACCACAGCCGTCCTCTGCAGCTCGACGAAGCCTGTCGAGCAGCTCTCCCATTGCGGATGGTCGGCTGATACTCCCGTACATCCGACCAAGTCGTCGGCGTTGCCCAAGCGAGGGCGGGGCCAACATTTCATTCCCGTTAACAGTACCCTCTCAGCCTCCTGGCTCGCTACGTGGCTCCCGGTAGACACCGAAAGGTGCATTGGGATGCTGCGAAGAGGGTACTGCGTTACTTGTGCAGTACATCGGGCATGGGGCTCGTGCTTAGAGGACGGGGTTCAGTGGTACTCACATGACACTCCGACGGTTCTTGGGCCGACGACCAGGCGACTCAGCGTTCGTCACAGGGTTACACCTTCAGCCTTGGCTCTGGTTCTGTCTCGTGGAGGTCCAGACGTTCTTCTTCTGTGATTGGTGCCAGCTGTGAGGCCAAGATCTACGCTGGGGCCATGGCTGCACAGGAGCTACGCTGGCTGACCTACCTGCTGACCGACTTGGGGGAGCGGCCTCGTTCTCCTCCAGTTCTGTACATCGACAACAAGGCAATGCTTGTCTTGTGTCACGAGCAGAGACTGGAGCACAGAACGAGGCACATTGCTCTTCGCGACTTCCTTGCGCGTGAGCTGCAGCAGCGTCGTCAGCTCCGCCTTTCCTACATGGCCTCGCGGGCCAATACTGCTGATGTGTTCACCAAGGCCCTTGGGTCTGGTGATCATCAGCGTTTCTGCACTACTCTTGGGCTTGTGCCCACTCTGCCTCACCTGCTGGTTGCTTGACTTGCTCTTGTTGTACACTGATATATATCTTTATCCCTGCTTGTTTACTGTTGCTAGGTTGTGATCAGTGTAGTGCCTTGCTATTATAACTCTGCATGTGAACTGGCCTTGTGGCTGCTTGCTTGTGCTCAGATTGTGTGGTGTCCTTGAGATCCACCCTGAGCTTTTCTTTGCTTTGTTCTCTTGCTTGACTGGTCTTGTGACCGTTCGTTGTGTTTGCTATCCCCCACTTTGCCTATGGGGGTGTGTCAAATTACATTTGTATGTGTAAGCTGTAGTGGGGTAGCCTCTATTGAGTACAACACTTTATGTCAAACCTAGTACTTGTATCCTTGCTTGCTAGTCAACCATTCCTGCACGGTTGATTCTGACACCAAGGCCAACATCAGATCTTGCAAACACCATCAGACTTTTCACTTGTGTCAACTCTGAATGATCAGACATTTTTTTTTTGTGGACTCTGAAATCTCAGCTGTTTTTTTTTTTTACCGAGTCTGGTTGATCAGACTGAAATCTTGTACGAAGTCTGAGAAACCAGACAGCTCAAAAACGAATCTGAGGGCCTGTATGAGATACACACGGTAGGAGCTTGATTTATCGCAAAAGATTTTAAAAAGACAACTATCAAATATCACTTTTCAGGACATTTATATAATAAGAGAATGTATTTGTCTTTGATATACTTGTAGAGATGCACTAGTATTCAATTTAAAGCATGTTATTGGCAAATGCTCCTAGAATGATTTCAAAAGTATGAGAAGATTCAGAGGTTCTAAATAAACATGATGGTTCGTGCCAATTAAAAATCCACAACCACCTGATATATAGATTTTATAGATATTGTTAGTCATTTGATTTTTACGTTGAAGATATTTCAGGTTTGTTTGTCATGAAACTTTGTTTTTACATTTTGCAAATGGATCCTATATTCCTAGTCTGGACTACGTTTGGATACATTTATTTTGACTTGGCAATCTCGGTCATTACAGAGGTGCCTTGAAATGAAACGAGTGCTTCAGGCCTACATTTTCCGCCAAGCCTACCTACTCGAGCCATGGCCTCGGGATTTCCAAACCAACTTCGATTCGCTTTTGAACCTCAAATCTCAAGCCAAGCCCACTCAGTTCGCTTTCTTTCCTCAGCTCGTACTCTCTCGACGCTTCTCCTCTCTCATTTACGGTAACTCAGCTTTTCGGATCATGCGTTTACATTAGCTCCTGTGCGTCCTTACTATCCCAAGCAGACAACTTTTGATTCCCTTTTCATGCTTAGACGCAACGTGGCAGCTTGAAGCAGCCGTTTATTGACCCGACAGATTATTCTCAAACCGATGACGAATAGGTGGGTGCGTCTGCTTAGCGTGAGGCTCTGCGTATAATGCTTTGTGAGGTCGTTTTCGTCAACCCGCGTTTCTGCACGTGGCTCCACGTTTCTCCACGTGGCGTTAGAACGATATCAGTGGAGTAGAACTCCGATTTCTCTTCGCAACTTTCGTTTTTTCCGAATTCTAAGGCTTCGTTTTCCGACCCCAAAGCCATAACGCGAGCGATTAGGTCAATTAGTGGCGGTTTGCCTAACGCAGTACAGCTCTTGCTTTCATTGCTATGAGAGACGCAGTATATGCTGGTGCTTTCCGTTCTTCCACAGTTGCTATCTTGCCGAACCTGGTTTTAGTACTGTCATCGCGTTACACCGATGGTCATCTTATCGCCACCTCGTTTCAAGGTGGTTCCGATTTTAGTCTCGGTCATATTTCGGGACGTCATATTCATCAAGTGTACTTCGTTTCATACGCTGCTTATGGCATCGCTTGAGCTTCTCGCTTTCGCATCTGAATTTCGATTCCTTTTCCGCCTTCTGACTTTTTTTTTCCCCAGAGTTCTGTGCAAGTACTTCGTTAATGGAGCATGCAGTAGAGGGGACAGTTGTCCTTTTTCCCACAACTGGAAAGACAAACCTAATATGGTGGGGCCTCTGTTCCGTCATCCTCTATCCTGTCATCCCCCGTTTCTGTCATCCCCCGTTTCTGTCAACCCCTGTTCTGTCACCTCCTTGTTACCCCCTGTCCCTGTCACCTCCTTTCACTGTGTGTTCGGTGTTTGATTGATCGGTGCTTGCGCCATATGATCATTAATGCTGCAGCAACCGCACTTCATGCTTACATATCTGCCGCTCCCACACCCTTCTCATCTCACTCCAGCATCCGCTCTCTTTGCCCCATACTCCCTGACACCCACACACCCACACACCCACACACCCACACACCCACACACCACACACACGCAACCACACATCCACACTCTCACACACACACCCACACACACACACCCAGCTGTTCCTCTCCATGTCCCTCTCCTCCTCCGCCCGCGCCCCCCTCGTTCGCCTCCTTTCGCGTGCTTCCCTCCACCCTCCCACGCATGTGTGTTATACCAGCGCAGAGTCTGCTCTTACGACGACCGCGCCACATCCTTCATCCTCCTCTCCCCCCGCTCCCTCCGCCCCCCTTCCCTCTCGCCGCCTCTCCCTCCCCACGTCCCACCCTGGCCCTCCCCTCCCCTCCCTTCCTCCCCTCCTCCCCTCCTCCCCTCAAACCCCCAGGCGTGTGTGTTCTACCAGCGTGGTGTGTGTTCCTACGGGGACCGCTGCCGCTACGACCATGTCAAGCCGAAACCCTCCTCCTCTGCTGCCCCCGCTCCACCACCTGCCGCTGTCCCGCCCACACAACCAACCTTTGCACCCGCTCTCCCCTCTGTTACCCCAGCCCGTGCTGCTGGTGCGTCAACATTCCCCTCTGCTTCCCCCTCACGTCCCACTGCCGCCCCGCCTGCTGCCTCGCCTGCTGCCTCCTCCACTAGCAGTAGCACCAACAGCAGCAGCAGCGGCGGCGTTAGCAGCCGCAGCAGTGGGAGCATTGTGAGCAGCAGTAACGGGAGCAGCAGACTCACGGGCAGTAGCAGCAGTGCCATCAGTAGCAGTAGTAGCAGCGTCAATGCTGGGGCTAGTAGGGTCACTGGTAACGGTGTAACTGCCACTAGCAAGAGTGCAGCCGTCACTAGCAACGTTGTGACAGGCACTGCTAGAGCGGCTGTCAGTCCTGCTGCTGATGCCCTCTCCTCGTCCTCCTGGCCTTCCCTTCAGCCCCAAACCTCTTCCTCTTCTGCTCCTGCTGGCAGCTCTAATGCTGTTTCAAATGCACCCGCAAGACCCCAGTATTCTGCCACTGCTTCCCCATACTCCGCCAGAGGATCCCCATACCCATCCGCACCTCCTTCCACCACTACAACACCTCTTCACCACTCACCCGTTCCTGTCCTCCCCGCTTCCTCTTCCTCCGCCTCCTCTCCTTTCACTGCCCCCTCACTTTCCTCTGCCTCCGCCACTCCCTCCTCCACTACCCGTCTTTCTGTCTCTGCTACTCCCTCCTCCTCCTCCTCCTCCTCCTCCTCCTCCTCCTCCTCCTCCTCCTCCTCCTCCTCCTCCTCCTCCTCCTCCTCCTCCTCCTCCTCCTCCACCCCTCTCTCTGTCTCCGCTTCTCCCTTTCTCCCCTCCGCTGCCGCCGCCCCCTTCGTTCCGTCCAGCCAATCAGGAGGGTCCTCCACGTCAGCAGTCGTGAATCCAGCCTTCTCGTCTGTCCCTTCTTCTAGGTTAACCCCCACCGCACCTGCTTTCCACCCCCCTGCTGCTGCTCGTGCAGCTGCTGCTTCTTCTGCTCCTGGTGATGGTTCTGCTGCCGCTTTTACTACTGCTGCTGCAACTGCCCCTTCTGCTGCTGCAGCAGCAGCAGTACCGGTTACCACCACTGTCACCCGTAACCGTTCCGGCCTCTACACCCCAGCCCAGTACTACGCAGAACGGGCGCAATCCTCTATACCCGTTACAGGGCCTATACCCGTCACAAACGGACTCGTTTCTGGGTACAGATACGCCCATCCTTCTTCCTCTGCTTCCACCGCACCTCAATACGCCCCCGCTCCCTCCCCAGAAGCAATTTTCGAAAGAGACCCCTCGGGGAGCTCATTGGATGGTCCAGATTGGCTGCCGCGATCTGCGAGCGATCTGTTTGATGAGGGGCTTCCAGTGATGCGCCTGAGTAGCGGCGGTGGGGGAGGGACAAGCCAAAGAGGGAACGTGGCTGTGTTGGGTTCTGCAGAGAGAGAAGGAGGGGGAATAGCAGGGCCCGGGGGCGGGGGCATGCGCGTGGGAGGGACAGAACAAGGGACGGGAGGGGCGGGAGAGGCAGGGGGATTGGGTTTTGTGTTGCAGGGGCCGCAGGAGAGTGCGTGGGTGGAGATGGACCCGTTAATGAGTGATCCGTTAGTGAGTGACCCGTTTGGGGAGGAGGAGCTGGGGTTTGAGTGTGAAGTGGAGGAGCCACAGCAGCAGAGCGCGTGGGCGGAAGGAGGGGCTGGATTCGCGAGTGAGGAGGAATTTGAGGACTTTGTGCGGGAAGCCAGTGACTTCTCTGCTCAGGCCGCTGCTCTGAGAATAGGGCTTATTGCTCTTATGGATGAGGAGAGCCCTTCTGCTGCCTCTGCTGCTGCTTCTTCTGCTGCTGCTGGTGCTGCTGCTGGTGCTGCTTCTGCTGCTGCCACTTCGGGCCCTGAAACCACAGCAGCTGCTTCAGCACCTATACCTCCTGCTTTCGCAGCAGGCAAAGCAGCAGCGGCAGCTTTAGCTCCTGCCGCCGCAACTTTAGCTCCTGCCGCCTCTGTAGCGCCTGTGGCAGCTGCTGGGGGAGAGCGCCCTGTAGTACCTGCTCAAGTACTGGACCCACTAGGCAAGCCTGCTGCAGGGCGATTCTCTGGTGAATACTCTGGTTTTGAGACGTCTCAAAATTACGATGATCCTGGTGGTTACAGTGCGTATGCTGGCTATGGTGGCTATAGTGGCTATGGCAGTGGATACGGTGCTAGTAATACTGCTAACGCTGCTAACGGTGCTAACGGTGCTGCTGCTGCTTCTGTCAATGGTGGCGATGGTGGGAGCAGCAGCAGCAGCGGGTATGCTGCCTCCTCGTTGGCTGACAGCCTCCACCCCGTGACCGAGAGGCCTGACAGACCTGACAGGCTTGACAAACCGGACATGCCGCTCTGCACGCTGCCGCGGGTGGAGGGTGCTTCAGGTGCCTGCTGTGCTCGTGGCCCCTCCTGCCCCTTCCCCCACGGGGACCTCTGCCCCCACTGCGGCCGCTATTGCTTGCACCCTGCTCGCCCCACCGTGAGTGTCTTTGTCTTTCTGTGGCAGTGTGCCAGCATTCTGTGGTGATGCTCCCCTCCCCTCCCCTCCCCTCCCCCCTCCCCCTCCACCTGCCCCTTCCCCCACCCACGGGGAACTCTGCCCCCACTGCGGCCGCTACTACCTGCACCCTGCGCGCCCCACAGTGAGTGCCTTTGTGTGCCAATCCACGGCTGCAGAAAATGGTACAGGCGCTAGAATTGACCTCAGAGATCGAGTGCAGCGTGTGCCTGGAGCGCGTGCTGGGGTTTGTATTAGTCTCAGTCTGTCTTCACTCCCCCCACCCCCTCACCCACAGGAACGGGAGGAACACATGAAAGAGTGTGCGCGGCTGCAAAGAAAGTGCAGGCCTTAAAACTGAGCTCAGAGATTGCGTGCAGCGTGTGCCTGGAGCGCGTGCTGGGGAAGGCTTAGTCGTATAACCTACTCTCCTTTTGAGACGTCTCAAAACAAGGCTTAGTCGTATAACCTACTCTCCTTTTGAGACGTCTCAAAACAAGGCTTAGTCGTATAACCTACTCTCCTTTTGAGACGTCTCAAAACAAGGCTTAGTCGTATAACCTACTCTCCTTTTGAGACGTCTCAAAACAAGGCTTAGTCGTATAACCTACTCTCCTTTTGAGACGTCTCAAAACAAGGCTTAGTCGTATAACCTACTCTCCTTTTGAGACGTCTCAAAACAAGGCTTAGTCGTATAACCTACTCTCCTTTTGAGACGTCTCAAAACAAGGCTTAGTCGTATAACCTACTCTCCTTTTGAGACGTCTCAAAACAAGGCTTAGTCGTATAACCTACTCTCCTTTTGAGACGTCTCAAAACAAGGCTTAGTCGTATAACCTACTCTCCTTTTGAGACGTCTCAAAACAAGGCTTAGTCGTATAACCTACTCTCCTTGTGCCCCTGCTGCCTTTGCACCCGCCCGCGCACCACATTAGCGGGAGGAAAGAGTGTGTGCGGCTGCAAAGAAAAGTGCAGGCCTTAAAGCTGCGCTTAGAGATCGAGTGCAGCGTGTGCCTGGAACGTGTGCTGTTGAACGCCTTGTCTTGGTCTGAGCCCCTGTCTCCACTCCCCCCACCCACCCACCACCCACACACACACACACCACAGGAGCGGGAGGAGCACATGAAAGAGTGTTTGCGGCTGCAGAGAAAGGTGCAGGCACTTAAAATGAGTTCCGAGATCGAGTGCAGCATGTGCCTGGAGCGCGTGCTGGGGAAGGCCTTCATCTCATCTTGTCTCATTCTCTTCTCCACCCACCCACCCACCCATCCACCCAACCACCCTCAATAGGAGCGGGAGGAGCACATGAAGGAATGTTTGCGGCTGCAGAGGAAGGTGCAGGCGCTGAAGCTGAGTTCCGAGATCGAGTGCAGCGTGTGCCTGGAGCGCGTGCTGGGGAAGGCCTTCATCTCATCTTGTCTCATTCTCTTCTCCACCCACTCACCCACCCATCCACCCAACCACCCTCAAGAGGAGCGGGAGGAGCACATGAAGGAATGTTTGCGGCTGCAGAGGAAGGTGCAGGCGCTGAAGCTGAGTTCCGAGATCGAGTGCAGCGTGTGCCTGGAGCGCGTGCTGGGGAAGGCCTTCATCTCATCTTGTCTCATTCTCTTCTCCACCCACTCACCCACCCATCCACCCAACCACCCTCAATAGGAGCGGGAGGAGCACATGAAGGAATGTTTGCGGTTGCAGAGGAAGGTGCAGGCGCTGAAGCTGAGTTCAGAGATCGAGTGCAGCGTGTGCCTGGAGCGCGTGCTGGGGAAGGCCTTCATCTCATCTTGTCTCATTCTCTTCTCCACCCACCCACCCACCCATCCACCCAACCACCCTCAATAGGAGCGGGAGGAGCACATGAAGGAATGTTTGCGGCTGCAGAGGAAGGTGCAGGCGCTGAAGCTGAGTTCCGAGATCGAGTGCAGTGTGTGCCTGGAGCGTGTGCTGGGGAAGGCCTTCATCTCATCTTGTCTCATTCTCTTCTCCACCCACCCACCCACCCATCCACCCAACCACCCTCAATAGGAGCGGGAGGAGCACATGAAGGAATGTTTGCGGCTGCAGAGGAAGGTGCAGGCGCTGAAGCTGAGTTCCGAGATCGAGTGCAGCGTGTGCCTGGAGCGCGTGCTGGGGAAGGCCTTCATCTCATCTTGTCTCATTCTCTTCTCCACCCACTCACCCACCCATCCACCCAACCACCCTCAATAGGAGCGGGAGGAGCACATGAAGGAATGTTTGCGGCTGCAGAGGAAGGTGCAGGCGCTGAAGCTGAGTTCCGAGATCGAGTGCAGCGTGTGCCTGGAGCGCGTGCTGGGGAAGGCCTTCATCTCATCTTGTCTCATTCTCTTCTCCACCCACTCACCCACCCATCCACCCAACCACCCTCAATAGGAGCGGGAGGAGCACATGAAGGAATGTTTGCGGCTGCAGAGGAAGGTGCAGGCGCTGAAGCTGAGTTCCGAGATCGAGTGCAGCGTGTGCCTGGAGCGCGTGCTGGGGAAGGCCTTCATCTCATCTTGTCTCATTCTCTTCTCCACCCACTCACCCACCCATCCACCCAACCACCCTCAATAGGAGCGGGAGGAGCACATGAAGGAATGTTTGCGGTTGCAGAGGAAGGTGCAGGCGCTGAAGCTGAGTTCAGAGATCGAGTGCAGTGTGTGCCTGGAGCGTGTGCTGGGGAAGGCCCGGCCTGCTGATCGCAAGTTTGGCATCCTCTCCCACTGCGACCACCCCTTCTGTGTCGCGTGCATCCGCAACTGGCGGGCTGCCGGGCAGGTGGGTGTGGGAGCGGGTAAGAGATTTTGGGAGAGGGAAGGGGGGAACGGAGAGGGTGGGAGAGGGGAGGAAAAGGAGGGAAACCAGGGGTGAATTTGAGGGGTTATGTTGCAGATGTGTGTACAGGTGATGGTGGAAGATCGAGTGCAGTGTGTGCCTGGAGCGTGTGCTGGGGAAGGGCCCGGCCTGCCGATCGCAAGTTTGGTATCCTATCGCACCGCGACCACCCTTTCTGTGTTGCGTGCATTCGCAACTGGCGGGCTGCTGGGCAGGTGTGTGGGTATGGGGAGAAGGAGAGGAGAAGGAGGAGAGGAGAAGGAGAGGAGAAGGAGAGGAAAAGGAGAGGAGAAGGAGAGGAGAAGGAGAGGAGAAGGAGAGGAGAAGGAGAGGAGAAGGAGAGGAGAAGGAAAGGAGAAGGACAGGAGAAGGGATTACATTGCGTGTAGACAGGTGGGTGTAGAAAGTAGATTTTTGAGACGTCTCAAAAATCTACTTTCTACAGGTGGTGGTTGGGGGCTGGCGAAGGCTCGCCCTGCCGATCGCAAATTTGGCATTCTCTCCCACTGCCACCACCCGTTCTGTGTGGCGTGCATCCGCAACTGGCGAGCTGCTGGGCAGGTGAGAATGATGTGGTGTGGAGGGAAAGGAGAGAATGGTGTGGTGTGTGGAGAGGTGGTGCTGAGAGGTAGGGAAGGCCCGGCCTGCTGATTGCAAGTTTGGCGTTCTCTCCCACTGCGACCACCCTTTCTGTGTTGCGTGCATCCGCAACTGGCTAGCTGCTGGGCAGGTGTGGTTGGGGGGAGAGGGATTGGGATGGATGGGGCATTGAAAGTTAATTATGCAGGTGGTGGCGGTGATGAGTGAGTGGGGGTTCTCTCACACTGCGACCACCCGTTCTGTGTCGCATGCATTCGCAACTATCCTTCTTCCTCTTCCCTTCAAACACTCTCCCCAGCAGGACAGTAACGAGTGGGTCCCTCTGGACTTAGACAACGCAGTGCGGACATACCCCCTGTGCCGCGTGCGATCACACTTCGTCACTCCCAGTGTGCTGTGCTGCTCTCTCCCTCCATGCTCTCACCATCCTTACTCTTTCCCTCCCCTTCCCACACTCCCCCCAAGCAGGACAGTGGCGAGTCCGTCCCTCTGGATCTCGACAACGCAGTGAGGGCGTGCCCCCTGTGCCGCGTGCCTTGGGTGCATGCAATCACCATTTGTTTTCCTGCTTCATCTCTTCTTCCCACACCCTTCCCCCCAGCAGGAGAGTGGCGAGTCGGTCCCATTAGACCTGGACAACGCAGTGAGGGCGTGCCCCTTGTGCCGCGTGCGATCACACTTTGTGACTCCAAGTGTGGTGTGGTTCTTCAGCGAGGAGGAGAAGCAGGCTATTATCGAAGGATACAAGCGGAAGCTCAAGTGAGAAACAGTTGAGGGGGAGGCGGGGGGAGGGGAGAGGAGAAATGGTTGTTGTACGCGTTATGTCCTTATACAATAGCTTTGTGACTCCCAGTGTGGTGGTTCTTCAGTGAGGAAAAGAAGGAGGCTATTATTGAAGGATACAAGAGAAAGCTCAAGTGAGAAACGAGGGGGACTGAAGGGTTGTCTGTGGGTTGTCTTGCTTGGCTTGGGATGTCCCTCTATCGCCTTGTGACTCCCAGTGGGGATTGGAGGGGTTGTGTGGTGTTGATCTTCGGATGTGGCTACATACCTTTGTGACTCCCAGTGTGGTGTGGTTCTTCAGTGAGGAGGATACAAGCGGAAGCTCAAGTGAAGAAACCGGGGGGGAGGGGGGGAATGCGGTATAAGTGGATGCATGCGTTTGTGTGTGTGTGGTTGGGTGGGACGTGTGGTTGGGTGGGGTGCACCGATTGTCGCCACTTCAACTACCCGATTGCCACAGATTGCCCCTCCCATCTCCCTCCACACCTGTTCCTCCCCCCTATCTCTCTTCCCACAGGAGCACTGACTGTCTCTATTTCAACTACGGCAACGGCCAGTGCCCCTTTCCTCATCATCTTCCTTCCTCCACACTGGTTCTTCCCGTTCTCCCTCTTTCCCACAGGAGCACGGATTGTCGGTATTTCAACTACGGCAATGGCCAGTGCCCTTTTGGGACCAGCTGCTTTTACAAGGTAATTCCCTCTTGCGTTTTGCGTTTGTCTCTTGCCCTTTCTGCTCGTCCTTGCTTTTCCTGCTTGTCGTTGCCTTTCTTAGGTTGCCTTTATTCCATGATATTGTTCTCGCCCTCTGCATATCCTTACCTCATCTTGCTTCCTCTTCCTCTTTTCTCGCCGCATCTCTCACTTCACTACTGCCCCTCACAGCTGTTTTCTCCCTTGCCTCACCTTTTTTCTGTGGAAGGAGTCATTTCCCCTTCTTTACCCCGCAATCCCCACCATCTTCACCCTCTCGTTCCCCCTTCCTCCCACTGCCACCACCACCACCACCACTCCACACTCCTAGCACGCATATCGGGATGGGCGGCTGGAGGAGGTAAAATTGCGGCACCTGTCTTCAGCTGATGGGAGCGCTGTCATTTCGAGAGACATCAGGTGCGTATGGAGTTGCTTGGGATATATATTATAATGGTTCTTGCTGAAAGTGATTAGACCAAGTTCAGGTGCACATATTGTTTCATGCCTGGCAGTCTAATGAGAAACAAGCCTCCCTTGCTTTTTGCTGTATGCTTTTATCTCAATTGGCAGGTTATCTGATTTCTTGGGTAGTGTTGGCCAAAGACGATGAACCTTCTTGAAACTACATAGTTATGTAGTCAATAAATTCAATCAATTTCTCGTATTAGTATACCAAACATATGTGAAATCAGAAGTCACAAACCAAACTGTCTACTACTACCCTGGGTAAATTGCGTAATAACTACAAATTTGAACACCCCGCATTGCTTTCTGTACATGTGAAGTGGTACAGAGTCTAGAAAACAACCTAGGAAATCTTCCATCATTGACTGCCGTAGATCCCAAGGTCTGGTGCGAGCTGCGTATAACTGAAACTGAACGCGTTCCCCAAGAGGTTACTACCGAAATCTCGAAGAGGTTGTCCGTAAACGCGACGCGAGTGCAAGTGACCCACCACATTATGGCGTCGCCGTTTCGCAGCCCGTCGCTCGCTCACCTCGCGAACGTTTCGCTGTTCGTTCTGTCGCTAGCGTTCGTCGCATGCCGTCGCGCGGCGGCCGTCGTCCTGCTGGTGGAGGGGAAGGAGTGCCTAACGGAGCACCTAGAAGCGAACGAGGCGGTGACGGGAAGCTTCGTGGTTATTGACGTCGACAGCGCTTGGCTTAGCGACGCGGGAACCATTGACTTCGAGGTTCGTCGCACCGTACAGTGTTCAGATGTTGCCTCAATAGTTATGCTCGTCTCATTGAGTCTAAACCTTAATATGACTTTTGAGATGTCTCAAAAGTTCGTCGCACCGTACCGTGTTCAGATGTCTCAATCTCTTATGCTCGTGCCATGGAGTCTAAACCTTGATATGGCTCAAATCTAAGAACTCGTGGCTATTGGACGCTTGAAACGTCGACTTTGTACCGCTGATTTAACGTATCGTTTCTCCGAACCGTTGCTACTGATTAGCACATGTCAGACGAAATTTTCCAGTTGAGGTCCAGTTGCGTACTCAGGAGGCCATAGCTTCTGAGTAGACTCGACTTCTGAGTCGACTCAATAGCACATGTCAGACGACATTTCTCAGTTGAGGTTCATGCACTCAGGAGGCCATAGCTTCTGCCTCACCCCATCATTCACCCTCCCTTGGTCCGTGTACCTAGGAGACCACAGCTTCTGTTTGCATCTCTCTCACGCCTCCCTCGCCTCTTTGCTTCCCTCGTTTGCCTCTCCAACCCTGCTGATGATTTTTTTCTCAGATCCACAGCACACCCCTTTCACCTCTTTAGAAGCATGATTTACAATGCAGATCCATCTGCTTAGGAAACTACAGCATTTACCTTCCCCATCTGACTCTCCTTTTGGGGTATTTATTCTCTTGTTCTTCCCCCGTTCGCTTTTTCAGATTATTGGCTCGCACAACCTGAAGCTGTACAGTGCGAAGCGCAAGTCAGAGGACAACTTTCAGTTCTGGTCCATGTACTTGGGAGACTACAGCTTCTGCTTAACCCCACCTCTCTCTCCACCTCTCCCTGTCCTTATAGTTCTGGTCCATGTACTCGGGCGACTACAGCTTCTGCTTACCCCCACTTCTCCCTCTCATTTGGCCTATGCCCTTTGTATGTGTACGCGTTTTCCCTCTCCTCGTTTCAGATCATAGGTCTGCACAACCTGAAGTTGTACAGTGCAAAGCGCAAGTCCGAAGACAACTTTCAGTTCCGGTCCATGTACTTGAGCAACCATAGCTGCTGCCTCTATCCACATCTCCCTCTCCTCTCCCATTTTCTCTTTCTGTGTACGCGTTTTTCCCCTCGTCGTTTCAGATCATAGGCCCGCACAACTTGAAGTTGTACAGTGCAAAGCGCAAGTCGGAGGACAACTTCCAGTTCCGGTCCATGTACTCGGGTGACTACAGCTTCTGTATGGACAACACGGACCACATGGCTGCCACCGTGCAGCTCAGCTACCACATTGGGCACAAACCGCACACCCATGAGGTGGCCAAGGATGGTGAGTCGTTGACACCCATGACATTCCCCAGTTTAACAAGCTGGTCATCTTTTTTTTATTTTTTATTTTGAAGGCCCTACTTTCTGTCAACGTAGGACACTGCATGTGCTCATTATCGTTATATCTCCAATTCATACTCTCCCGCTTCCTTGCCTTCTTCATAGCACATGCAGGGAGACCCTGGTCAGGTGGAGTCAATCCGTTTCGGTCTGGTTCTGCTGCAGCAGGATCAGGCCTACTTCCTGAAGTCCCTTCCAAACCCCTACTCCTCCTCGTCCCGCTTCCTTGCCTTCTTCAGAGCACATGCAGGGAGTCCTTGGTCAGGTAGAGTCAATTCGTTCCGGTCTGGTTCTGGTGCAGCAGGACCAGGCCTACTTTCAAGCCCGCGATGAAAGGCGACGGAGAAGTGAGTGCCTTTTGCCTTCGTTTGCCCTCTTCTTGTTAATCCTTCTTTTTCTCTTTTCATGTAGACCCCACTCATCACTCATCTTTGTCATCCACGTAGTCGCCGCGTGGCCTTATAGCTAAAAATGTTATGTCATGCGTTTATTGTAAGAGTTTGCCGTGGTGTGATTGCTTGCAGTATGTATCAGGGGCCTCTCCTTCTGGAAAACTGGTAGCCTTCACATCACACCCTTGTGTTTGTGTGTTTGTGGGTTTCTGCCATTTGTTGTATTTGTGGGCGAATGTGGCATGTTTGTGCAGCAAATGAGAGCACAAAGCAGCGGGTATTTTGGTATGCCCTGCTGGAAGTGTTGGTTCTTGTCCTTGCCAACGGAGCTCAAGTGCTTATTCTCCATCACCTCTTCAACAAAGCTGCTGCCAGAAGCCGCAAGTGATAAACGCCCAGAATTTCTGGATTCAGTAAGGTTGAGAGATTCGTGCATTTCTCAGTAAGATTACCTCTGGTCTGTATGGGTCCATGTCAGAAAGCTATAGATTTGCGCTGTATACTGATGTGAGTTTTTTTAGTCGTGTGCTACTAGTTCGTGCTGCTTGCATCTAAACTTGCTCTACAGTATCGAGGTCAGATTCTGAATGCATGTCTTCCTTTCCTTTCCCCCCTTCCTGAAAACTTTGCCCTGATTCGTACATCTGCTCTTGCGTGGCATTCATGGATGGCAGGCAAACTCCACGTGGAGTTCACTATTTCGCCTGCCTTTGACCTATGTGGCATCGCCTTCCCTCCACACAGGCCAACTGACTCATCAGAAAGTCGAACCGCGAAATTCTAGAGCGCGGCGCGCCTAGGTCTTCCTCTTCATCCATTTCCTGGACTCCCCCCAAGCATCCTCCATTCAGGCAACTTTCTTCCTTTCGCAGCGACATTTCGTGAACTCCGAGGCGATGTCGCAATCCACACAGCCTGTGCGGACATCTCGTCAAACGAGGGAAAACACCGATGTACAGTAATTCCTGAAAGCGAATCAGCAGCAGTCCAGCGATCTAGGACATTTTCAAGGAACCATTCATCACTCCCCCGAGTCCCGACAGACCTGTACCTAGAATCGTGCTACGAAGCACCAGCAGCGTGGCTGCTTGAAAAACAGACGGCTTTGCGTAGCTCCTTTCTAGGAACCATCTCGCCCTAAGCAGCTTATCTTTAAAGAGTCTTCAACCGCTTAGTCTACTGGAGGTCAGACAAGAATCACCTTCAGGCGAGATAGTCTGTCGTCGTTTCGCAGGCCTTTTCAGAATAAAGCTCCCTCGGTCAAGCTTCACGGCGTCATGGCCACGTCAGCAGCGAATACTGCCCAAATAAGCGCACGTCGCACTCTGTCAGCGTCGCACAGTTGTAAGCGAGAGATGACCACGATCCCGAGAGCTACCAGGCAGCCATCATTTATTACCAACGCGTCGTCTCGACAACGTAGCCGGAGGTCCAATGACCGATTCGACTCCGCTTCCGTGTTGTCGGGAAATAAGAGCGGAAGGTTCGCCGTTGCGAGTTCCAATGGCTCCGTTTCCCAGCAGACCAACGTTACACTACCGAGGATTAAGCTTATATCGAGGACTCCAGGCCAGCCCGCGTCGCGGCGGCTGTCTGTGCGAGCCTCGGCAGTTTCGAAGGACGGTGGCTCTCGCGAGGTGTGGGAGGTGCCGCCGTCGTGGAGCGATTTTCCTATCGGTAAGAACTTAAATCGTAAGCAATTACTAGTAAAACTGAGAAATATTCATATGAAGTCAATTGTCAGCCGAATACTCATTAAGATCTTAATAATCAATATAAAATCAATTCAAAATCAGATGTAACAGTGACCCAACCATGGCTTGCGGTCTACAGCTCATCCAGCCTCCCGCAGTCCGCACTATCGCAGGCGTGGCGGTATTGTTCGAAATCGAGCGCGCTGGCCATCACAGCGTGCGCCTACAGCTCCCCCCTCCGTTTCCTCATTTCCCCCTCTACGCCATGCAGTCCACACTATCGCAGGCGTGGCGGCACTGTTCGAAATCGAGCGCGCTGGCTGTCACAGCACGCGCCTACAGCTTCCCCCTCCGCTTGCCCATTTCCCCTTTTCCCCATACCCTGCGCAGTGCGCAATAGAGCGCGCGTGCGCCGCCAATGCGCGTGCCTAAAGCTTCCCAATTTCCGCCTTTCCCTCCTACACCGTACGTTCCGGCCTATCGCAGGCGTGGCGGTACTGTTCGCGATAGAGCACGCGCTCTATTGCGGGTCGTGGCGTGGCGGTACTGGTCGCCTTGCAGTGCGCTCTATTTGCGGGCTTGGCGGTACTGTTCGCGATAGAGCACGCGCTCGCTGCCACTGCGCGCGCCGACAGATTCCCCCTCCGCTTCCCCATTTTCCCCTTTCCTCTTCCTCTTCCCCGTTTCCCCGTTTCCCCGTTTCCCCCATTCCCCCTACCCCTTGCAGTGCGCTCTATTGCGGGCGTGGCGGTACTGTTTGCGATGGAGCGCGCGCTCGCCGCCACTGCGCGCACCTACAGCTTCCCCGTGCCCGCGCCCGTGCTGATGCTGGCGGGAATCGGCGCGCTTATGGCGACCGGGCTGAAAGAGGCGGAGATGGGTGAGTGACTGGGGGAAGAGGGAGAAGCGGGGAAGAGGGGGAAAAGGGGGATTCGGGGAGGGCTGGAGGGAATTGGCTTTCTCAAGGTGAAGTGGATTAAGGCAGCGTTGTGTGGTGAGTTGTTTGGGGGGTGCGGTTAATTGGGGAGGAGGAAGAGCCAGTGTGAGAGCTGACATGGGTAGGAAACACAAGAGAGTGTGGGAATAAGCGATTGAGGGAGTTGCGGAAATCGACGGGCTTGAACTGAACAAGGTAGGTAGGTTAGGCAAACAAGCGGAGGGAAGGAGTGTGAGCAAGCAGGCAAGGGAATATCATGAGTTATGGAAAGTAAATTCAGTGAGCTTGTTCTAAAGCGATTTGGTAATGTGATTAAGGAACGAGCTGTAGGTAATTATGTATGCATCACAGTCTGAAACGAGCGCACAAACGTGTGCTCCTCATTCCCTCACTCCCCCACAACTCCCTCCCTCATTCTTGGCCTTCTCCTTTCCCCGGTCATGATTCATTCCCACGTGGCAGTGTACGATTGGTGCTACCCAGCCATCTCGTTCTTCGACCAATGGATGCCCCTCTTCTTCGTGCCCTCCGTTGTAAGCCCAGCCCCACAATCCAACAATGGAGCCCCAGGTTGGAGCCATGTCTTTACATGGCAGCGACTTGTTTAGTTAAAAGGTAGAAAGTTACGTGGATGCCCCTCTTCTTCGTGCCGTCCGTTGTAAGCCCCACAACACTCTTTTAGAATTCTCCAATCTTTTTTTGAAATCTTTCCTGCAATGATTGCAATCCCCCTCGGCCCCCTCTCCACCCACCCATCCGTTCACTTACTCCCTTTCCGTCACTTTACCCATCATCATCAGCCCCACCCCTCTCGTCTCGCTTCATTGTAGTTACATACAAGCCCCAATGTATGGAAACGCATCGCTTCCCTCCACGTATTCTGAGTCTCCTTGTAATAAGTACATGCTTGCGTGTGATGATCAGACATTCCAGCGAGCTGCAACCTTCTCCTTAGAAACTGCAGCTCGCTGGAATGTCTGATCCCACGTATTCTCAATCTCCTTGTAATAAGTATGTGTTTCTCATCCTTCTCCTTCCTTCTCTTCTTACTCATGTCCTGTGTTCCTTGTCTCCCCCCACACCCCCTTTCTTCTCCCGCCACTCTATCTCGTCCCACCACACCACACACTCTCTCCCTCACCCCTCTCCTCCTTCCCCGTGTCCTTCCCCCCTTCATCTCTCCCCCCTGTCACCACCTTCTTGTCCCCCTCCCCCCATCCCCCCCCTATCCCTCCCCCTATCCCTCCCCCCATCCCCCCTCCTATTTCTCCCTCATCCCCCCTCCTATTTCTCCCCCCATCCCCCCTCTATCCCTCCCCCATCCCCCCTCTATCCCTCCCCCATCCCTCCTCTATCCCTCCCCCCATCCCCCCTCTATCCCTCCCCCATCCCTCCTCTATCCCTCCCCCCATCCCCCTTCTATCCCTCCCCCTATCCCTCCCCCGACCCCCCCTCTATCCCTCCCCCATCCCTCCAGGCATCTATTGCTCTCGCCCCTCTCCCAACCGGTCTCAACCTGACCAAGTCGATCGCCCTGCTCCTCTCCTCCTACCTCCTCACCCTCTTCCTCTCCGCCCTCGTAGCCCGCTCTATAGGCCAACTACTCGACTCATGGGGGTCATTTGCTAGCAGCCTGGCGGAAGGGAGCAGGGGAAAGCGGGGGAGGCGGAAGAGGGGGCCTGCGGGGGACGGGAGCATGAGCGATGGGGAGAAGGTGGAGCGGATAGGGGACGCTGCGCGCATGTGGGGCAAGCAGGCCGCGCAGAAGGGCGCCAAGGCGCTGGCGCAGGCTGCCATGGGCGCGGGGGAGAAGGATGTGGCGCAGGTGAGTGGGGGGAAAGGGAGGAAATGGGAAATGGGGGATGGGGGGCGGGGGAATGGGGAATGGGGAATGGGGGGCGGGGGAATGGGGAATGGGGGATGGGGGGCGGGGGAATGGGGAATGGGGGATGGGGGGCGGGGGAATGGGGAATGGGGGATGGGGGGCGGGGGAATGGGGAATGGGGGATGGGGGGCGGGGGAATGGGGAATGGGGGATGGGGGGCGGGGGAATGGGGAATGGGGGATGGGGGGCGGGGGAATGGGGAATGGGGGATGGGGGGCGGGGGAATGGGGAATGGGGGATGGGGGGCGGGGGAATGGGGAATGGGGGATGGGGGGCGGGGGAATGGGGAATGGGGGATGGGGGGCGGGGGAATGGGGAATGGGGGATGGGGGGCGGGGGAATGGGGAATGGGGAATGGGGAATGGGGAATGGGGAATGGGGAATGGGGGAATGGGGGGATGGGGGGATGGGGGGATGGGGGGATGGGGGGATGGGGGGATGGGGGGATGGGGGGATGGGGGGATGGGGGGATGGGGGGATGGGGGGATGGGGGGATGGGGGGATGGGGGGATGGGGGGATGGGGGGATGGGGGGATGGGGGGATGGGGGGATGGGGGGATGGGGGGATGGGGGGATGGGGGGATGGGGGGATGGGGGGATGGGGGGATGGGGGATGGGGGATGGGGGAATGGGGGAATGGGGGAATGGGGGAATGGGGGGATGGGGGAATGGGGGAATGGGGGGATGGGGGAATGGGGGAATGGGGGGATGGGGGAATGGGGGAATGGGGGAATGGGTGCATAAGAAGGCAGCTCGCCTAAAGAAGGCACAGACACACACGTGATAAAAGTTGTTGAGACGCCTCAAAACGCAGGGGAGCGAGATGAAGCGCATTTGAGTGGTGGTAGGGGGAAAGGGGGAGGGGGCTTTTGAGGCGCCTCAAAAGGTGGTAGGGGGAAAGGGGGAGGGGGGCAATTGGAACGCACACACGTGCATGCGGACACTCCCTCATTTCCCTTGCTCTCCCTTCCCTTTCTTGCCACTCGCCCCGTTTTCCCTCGCTCCCAGCCCAGCTAGCAGTGAAAGCAGCCAAGGCCCTCGACAAAGTGACGGACAGCATCAAAACGCCGGCCCGACAAAAGCTACAGCCTTCCAAATCTCCGTCCCTGTCCGTGCCTCTCCCATCCCCCTCTTTTCAATCCTCAGTTGGCAGTGAAAGCAGCCAAGGCGCTCGACAAAGTGGCGGACAGCATCAAAACGCCTGCCAGACAAAGACTTCCAACCTCCCCACTCCCTGTCGCTGTCCTTGCTTCTTCTCCTCTTCCTGTTCGCAGTTGGCAGTGAAAGCAGCCAAGGCGCTCGACAAGGTGGCAGACAGCATCAAATCCCCCGCCAGACAAAATTTGCCAGCCTTCCCATTCCCATTCCCATTCCCATTCCCATTCCCATTCCGATTCCCATTCCCATTCCCATTCCCATTCCCATTCCCATTCCGATTCCCATTCCCATTCCCTGTCCCTGTCTCCCCCCACCCGTCTCTTGCTTCCCCGCCCCCAGTTGGCAGTGAAAGCAGCCAAGACGCTCAACAAGGTGGCGGACAGCATCAAAACGCCTGCCAGACAAAAACTGCCGCCTGCAGCCTTCCCACTCTCTGTCCCCTGTCCATGCCTCTCCCATCCCTCTCTTCCTTGCTTGATTGTCCCTTGGACCCCCCCTCTCCCGCCTGCTTCCAGTTGGCAGTGAAAGCAGCCAAGGCACTCGACAAGGTAGCAGACAGCATCAAAACGCCTGCCAGACAAAAGCTGCCGCCCCTGCCGCTCTCCTCCGCCAAGTACCTGTACCTCGCTGCCGCCCTCATGCTCTCTCCTGCGCTCCTCACTCCCGTGCCCACCGCCCAAATGGTGAGTCTAAACGCATCTCATGGCCTATGGTGAGTCTAAACGCATCTCATGGCCTATGGTGAGTCTAAACGCATCTCATGGCCTATGGTGAGTCTAAACGCATCTCATGGCCTATGGTGAGTCTAAACGCATCTCATGGCCTATGGTGAGTCTAAACGCATCTCATGGCCTATGGTGAGTCTAAACGCATCTCATGGCCTATGGTGAGTCTAAACGCATCTCATGGCCTATGGTGAGTCTAAACGCATCTCATGGCCTATGGTGAGTCTAAACGCATCTCATGGCCTATGGTGAGTCTAAACGCATCTCATGGCCTATGGTGAGTCTAAACGCATCTCATGGCCTATGGTGAGTCTAAACGCATCTCATGGCCTATGGTGAGTCTAAACGCATCTCATGGCCTATGGTGAGTCTAAACGCATCTCATGGCCTATGGTGAGTCTAAACGCATCTCATGGCCTATGGTGAGTCTAAACGCATCTCATGGCCTATGGTGAGTCTAAACGCATCTCATGGCCTATGGTGAGTCTAAACGCATCTCATGGCCTATGGTGAGATTAAACGCATCTCATGGCCTATGGTGAGTCTAAACGCATCTCATGGCCTATGGTGAGTCTAAACGCATCTCATGGCCTATGGTGAGTCTAAACGCATCTCATGGCCTATGGTGAGTCTAAACGCATCTCATGGCCTATGGTGAGTCTAAACGCATCTCATGGCCTATGGTGAGTCTAAACGCATCTCATGGCCTATGGTGAGTCTAAACGCATCTCATGGCCTATGGTGAGTCTAAACGCATCTCATGGCCTATGGTGAGTCTAAACGCATCTCATGGCCTATGGTGAGTCTAAACGCATCTCATGGCCTATGTTGAGAGGCCTCTAGCCCTCCCCCTCTCCTCCGCCAAGTACCTCTACCTCGATGCTGCCCTCATGCTCTCGCCCGCCCTCCTCACGCCCGTGCCCACCGCCCAATTGGTGAGTTCAAGCACATCTCACGGCCTATGTTGAAATGAGATTGTACATTGACCGCCACCTAGACCACTCAATGTGTCACTTAGGCGTCTCAAGCTCTCAATCAACCCCCTCTCCTCACTCAATCAACCGCAAAGTGCCTCTCCCTCGCTGCTGCCCTCATGCTTTCCCCTCCACTCCCGTGCCCACTTCCCCCACGGTGACTTCGCTGACCACCTTCCCGTCTGCCGCTGCTCCTGTTCCCATACCCCACTCTCTGCTGTCCCGCTGTACCCCCGTCGTGTCCGCTCCTTGTCCGCTCCTTGTCCGCTCCTTGCCCGCTCCTTGTCCGCTCCTTGCCCGCTCCTTGTCCGCTCCTTGCCCGCTCCTTGCCCGCTCCTTGTCCGCTCCTTGTCCGCTCCTTGTCCGCTCCTTGCCCGCTCCTTGCCCGCTCCTTGCCCGCTCCTTGTCCGCTCCTTGTCCGCTCCTTGTCCGCTCCTTGCCCGCTCCTTGCCCGCTCCTTTCCCGCTCCTCTCATGATCCTTTCCCTCATCTCGTATTTTGAGGTGCCTCAAAAGTCGTCCCTTTGCTGTCCCGCTGTGCCCCATCGTGTCCGCTCCCCCTGCTCCTTTCGCTCATCTCGTCCTCCTCCTCTCCCCCTTCCCCACTGCAGGTAGCGCCGGGCCTTCTCCTCCTTTCTATCGCTGTCTTTCAGTCCGCCAAAACGTGAGTACAATGCGCATCTGCCTCTTTCCCAGGTCAACACCCCTTCGCCTCCCCTCACACCCCTTCGCCTCTCCTCTCCTCCCACCCCGTTGCCAAAACTAGAGTACAATGCGCATCTGCCTCTTTCCCGTCCCCTCCCTCCCCCAACCCCACCCCCCTTCTCCGTTCGCATTTTCTTTTTCTTTTCTTTTCTTTCTCGTCCACTCCGCCGCCGTACTTAAGGCCTCCCAGCTCTCCTTTGCCGCGCCCTCACCCCTTCGCCGCTTCCTCACACCTTCACATCTCCAATTACCCCCTCGTGTAGTGAGTCGATTTTTGAGTCGCACACGCCACCCTACACGCACATCTCCAATTACCCCCTCGCCTCCCGCTTGTCCCCTCTGTCCCATCAACCCACTCCGCCTTCCCCTCTTCCTCCCCTCTTCAGCCTGCCTGCCAACGTGCGCTCACTGCTAGTCCCCACAGTAGCAGCAGGCGGCGTGATGACGTCTCTCATGGCCATGTACGGCTCCTATGCTCTCAACAACTGGCAGGCGGGCATTCGCCTCTACTCCCAAGGGGCAGGTGAGCCCACTGGGCGTGTGCTGGAGAGGGGGGTGTGCTCACTGCATTGACGTCTCTCATCTCATGGCCATGTACGGTTCCTACGCTCTCAACAACTGGCAGGCGGGCATTCGCCTCTACTCGCAAGGGGCAGGTGAGACACTTCTAGTCCCTCACTCGCGGGCATGAGCTTATACAGAGGGTGGCCTGGGAGGTGTACTCCCTCACTCCCTCACTCCCTCCTGATGTGGAGGTACACCTCCCAGACCACCCTCTGCATAAGCTCATGTCGGTGCTCTATTATTGAATTCTATTAAGAGGAGGAAACCAGCTCATTCGGCTCGCTGGCTTCCTCATTCGCTCTCTCTTTGCCTTGCCTCCTCTCGTTCCCTTGTGCCCTTCCTTCTCCCGTCCCTCCTCCCCTCCCTCCCACCCCTCGACCCCCCATCTCCCTCTCGTCTCACAGGAGCATTTCTTGTCGCTCTGATCGGGCCTGCAGTGGGGGCGTTGGGCTTTAAGGTGCGTACAGTGCAAACTCATTCTGCCGCACCCTCATCAAGGTGTACTTTGAGTCAAATTAGAATGGCTTTAAGGTGAGTACAGTGTACTGAATCTGATGCACCCTTGTTAAGGTGTGTGCTGCTGGTTGGCTATTGGAATGAGTGCGGTGCGGGGCGTTGAGATTGGGGATTATTTTGAGGCGCCTCAAAATACACCTCAATGCTTGCGGTGCGGGGCATTGAGATTGGGGATTTTACCATCAGGGCTTCACCTTCCTCTTGGCGCCTATCCTCTTCCTTTCAATGTGCTCCCTTGACTTCTCTCCCCTTATCCTCACAGGTATTCACGGAGAAATCGCTGCTCAAGAGATACGCTCTTGACATTGCTGCCACGTGTGCAATCATGGTGCCAATGTGAGTGTGCCACGTCATCATGCCAGCATGTCTGTGCCACGTCATGGTGCTAGTGCGAGTGTGCTCTTATTTACACGTTTTTGTGAAACGTCCGGAAATTTCATCCAGGATGCTTAGAACAGATTTTGGGCACGTTGTGCAAAATCCCTCCTGTACTTTACATTTCCAAGTAACGGTGTGTATATTCATAAGTTGTGAGTATTTTTGCTTTCCAACTCTCCTCTATCCCACCCTCGTTTCCTCCCTTCCTCCCCTCCTTTGCTCTCCCCCTCTCCGCTTCCCTCCCCACCCCTTCACAGCCAGTTCATGGTGACAGCGCTGCTAGGAAGGCTGCTCATGGCGCCCAGCATCGTCACAGCTCTGCTGAGTCAACTCAAAAATCGACTTATCACATCGTCACAGCTCTGCTGGGGGCTCTGCTCATGTCTCACTGCTCATCTCTTTCCCGTCGTCTGCTCTCCGCCTCTCCAATCTTTTCCCCGTCTCCTCTTCCCTCCCCACCCCTTCACAGCCAGTTCATGGTGACAGCGCTGCTAGGGAGGCTGCTCATGGCGCCCAGCATCGTCATCAACTCGCTCATCCCCTCACACGTACGTCTGTAGCTGCTGATTGACTTGTGAGTCGACTCAAAAGTCACACGTACGTCTGTAGCTGCTGATTGACTTGTGAGTCGACTCAAAAGTCACACGTACGTCTGTAGCTGCATGGCCTCCTATGCTTGCTGCCTGCGTGCTCGCTCACACGTGCATGTGTGTGTGTGTGTGCGCGCGCGTTGTGCTCCCCTTGTGTCATGACAACACAAGCCTCGTGTTGGCTGCTTGGATCATACCAACCAAGTGACTTGGCCCCTTGTTTTCTCCCTTCTCCTCTCCACTCTTCTCTCTTCTCAGACCACCCTGGGTCTGGCCATCGAGATGGTGCCGCTGCTCTCTGCCAGCACAGGCCTTGTCGTGGCGGGTGTGACTATAGCGGGCACCACCGGTATTAGCACGGCCAGAACCCTCCTTGATCAGTGGAAGGTACGGCGGAGGGATGGGTTGTTTGGAATAAATGTGGGTGTGATTTTAGAGGGCGGGACTGGTATTAGCACAGCCTCCTTGGTCAATAACGTACTGCCCGGTTGGGGTACAGCGTGATGTGACAATAGCGGGCACCACCAGTATTAGCACAGGGTGGTTGTGACTTTAATGGGGTTGGAAAGGGGTCTGTGTGTGCGTGTGTGCGTGCGTGTGTTAATGATAACCTTGCCCCTCGCTCTTCCCCTCCGTCTTCCCCTCCTCCTTTCCCCCCCCCCCTCCAACCAACCCCCCCACACTCAGAGACACTTCTTTTCTCCCACCATCAGGTGTGCCATGCCATTCACAGGGGCCTGGCAGTCGCCATTGCCTCTGCCCCTCCCTCTGCCCCTCCCTCTGCCCCTTCTTCCCACACAGACACATAACAGTCCCCTTTCCTCCTCCCCCCCTCATCAGGTGCGGGACGCCATTCACAGGGGCCTGGCAATGGGCATTTCCCTACACCTTTTTGAGACGTCTCAAAAACTCACTTTTTACACTTTTTGAGACGTCTCAAAACTCACTTTTTACACTTTTTGAGACGTCTCAAAAACTCGCTTTTTGCAGTGGGCATCGCCCCACACTTTCTCCATTGCCTCTGCTCCGTCACACATTACGTCACATTGACTGTATTGCCCCTCATAACATTCGCCTTTCCTCTCCACATCCCTCCCCCATTTCCCCCCCTCGTCAGGTGCGGGACGCCATTCACAGGGGCCTGGCAGTGGGCATTGCATCACACTCCCTCGGCACCTCTGCTCTGGTAGGCTTGTGTGAGAGGACCAATACAGTCAATGTGATGCAATATGTGACGGAGCAGTCAATGTGACTGTATGCTGTTTTCTATAATTCTTAGAAACGACCTTCACTGTGACTGGCCTGACTGGGTGTATACCATTCGCCTGAATTAGAAGCACCCAGCCACTCATAACCGTCATCTAACCTGCTCACCCTGTTTCCTCGGCTTCCTCTGCGTTCTCGCTGTCCCTCGTTTTACCCGGTTACCTGTTCCAGGTTGCTGAGGAGCCACGCTCTGCTGCAGGTACGAATGGTGCAGGTATTGACTGGCGCAGGTGTTGACTGGTGCAGGTATTACTGGTGCAGGTATTACTGGTGCAGGTATTACCGGTGCAGGTATGTAGTGACCTACCAGTCCGTGTTCCCCTTGTCTCTTTACCCTCACTGGCCAGGGTGGGTTCCAGTTACGCAGCTGCTTATTGTTTTGTGTTTTGTGGCCGTTGCCGTGAAGGGAAATCCCAGCGTTATTCCTCATCCCCACCCCTGCTTTTTCTCTCTTCCCTTGACGTCTCGTTTTGAGACGTCTCAAAACTTATTCCTCATCCCCACCCCTGCTTTTTCTCGTTTTGAGACGTCTCAAAACTTATTCCTCATCCCCACCCCTGCTTTTTCTCGTTTTGAGACGTCTCAAAACTTATTCCTCATCCCCACCCCTGCTTTTTCTCGTTTTGAGACGTCTCAAAACTTATTCCTCATCCCCACCCCTGCTTTTTCTCTTTTGAGACGTCTCAAAACTTATTCCTCATCCCCACCCCTGCTTTTTCTCGTTTTGAGACGTCTCAAAACTTATTCCTCATCCCCACCCCTGCTTTTTCTCGTTTTGAGACGTCTCAAAACTTATTCCTCATCCCCACCCCTGCTTTTTCTCGTTTTGAGACGTCTCAAAACTTATTCCTCATCCCCACCCCTGCTTTTTCTCGTTTTGAGACGTCTCAAAACTTATTCCTCATCCCCACCCCTGCTTTTTCTCGTTTTGAGACGTCTCAAAACTTATTCCTCATCCCCACCCCTGCTTTTTCTCGTTTTGAGACGTCTCAAAACTTATTCCTCATCCCCACCCCTGCTTTTTCTCGTTTTGAGACGTCTCAAAACTTATTCCTCATCCCCACCCCTGCTTTTTCTCGTTTTGAGACGTCTCAAAACTTATTCCTCATCCCCACCCCTGCTTTTTCTCGTTTTGAGACGTCTCAAAACTTATTCCTCATCCCCACCCCTGCTTTTTCTCTCTTCCCTTGCCTATGCTGCTAACTCCAATCCCTGTCTCCATTGCCCTCACCCTTTCCCTCTATTCACCTCACCCCCATGCAGTGTCAGGCCTGGCCTTCGCTCTCAAGTCAAGGGCACACTCAGCGTCATCCTCATCTCCATCCCTGCCTTCCGAATTGCATGCCATTTCCCTTTAGTTCTCTATCCTTACTCCTCCACCCATCCCTCCCCCTTTCCCTCCCCCCGTCTCTTCCCCCATGCAGTGTCGGGCCTGGCCTTTGCTCTCAAGGGCACACTCAGCGTTATCCTCATCTCCATCCCGGCCTTTTTCTCTCTTCTCTCTCATGATGCTATCCCTAATCCCCGACTTCTCTGCCCTTTTCCCTTCCCTCTCCCCATCATCCTCTGTACCCCTCTCTCTTCCCCCATGCAGTGTCGGGCCTGGCCTTTGCTCTCAAGGGCACACTCAGCGTTATCCTCATCTCCATCCCGGCCTTCCGAATTGCGCTGCTCCAGTTGGCTGGCACTGCCTAATTGCATTCGTACAGTACCATCTCATTATTAATCAGTTATTCTGGTTTTCTTCACATAGAAATGTATGTGTAGAGATCCAAATGACATTAATTTAGGTCGTGGTGGGTATAAGCAGTACCGGTACAAGTCGCATTGTAGGCACAATAAAATTACAACAATTGATGAGTTTAGTTTTCGTGCGTCTCTCGAATGTTCCACCCATGCCCTGAGCGGTGAGCTTTCAACACAGCTGATACTGTATGTTTAACCCGAAGGATTTTGTTTTTTTCAGACAACAGCTACAAAGGTGCATCAAAGCAGCTAAAATATATTGAATCATGACAATACGATGCACAGCAAAGCAATGCCAATTTAGTCATAAACCGTATGAAAATGGTAAAGAAGCTGTTTGAGGCAGCGTTGTGCTTTAAAGAGGATGCTTTGCAACGAGACTCTGTATATGTGTGTGTATTCGCATCTGTACTCAACTTACCGTATCACCTCCTTTTGTCACTGCGGCACCAGCAGTACCTGTTCGCGCTATTCCTGAAGTGCTGGTGTTGCAGCAGCAGCAGCAGCAGCAGGTGGAGCAGCAGGAGCAGCAGCAGGTACGGCTGTAGCAGCAACAGGTACAGCTGTAGCAGCAGCAGTTACGGCTGTAGCAGCAGCAGGTACGGCTGTAGCAGAGGCAGGCGGATTAGAAAGGGAGTCTGTAGCAGTGCCAGGTGCTGTAGTGGCGGCCGCGGGGTTTGAAGCAGGGCTAGAAGGCAGAGCGCGAGGGACAGCTGTAGCAGCAGAAGGTGCAGCATTGGCAGGGCCAGCAGGAGTTGTGGCTGTGGTGGGATTAGCAGGAGGTACGGTTGTAGCAGGACTGGCCGGGGCTACGGCTGTAGCATGCTGAGAAGGATGGCTGGCAGGAGTTGAGATGCTGGGAGCAGCAACTGCTCTTGTAGCTACAGTGGCACCACCTGCTACAGTCACAGTTGTAGCACCAGTTAAAGCAGCAGCAGCAGCAGCAGCCACAGTTGCAGTAACACCTGTTACACCAGAAGCATCGGTCACAGTTGTTGCACCAGGCAGTGTTGTAGCACCTCCTGTCGTTGTCACGTGCGCTACAGGTGTAAATTGACCAAGCCTGGGGGTTACCCTGGGCGGATTGTGCAACATCAAGGGTAATTTACCCGCGTTTGGAGCTGCTTCTGTACCGGGGCTCGCCCTGGGCGGGCTCACCAATTTTCTGGGTGATTTACCCTTCGGTGTTGTGCTGGGTGGGCTTCTGGCACCGGAAAATGCATTGGGGCTGGAAACAAGGGGAATGCAAGCAGTCAATCTGGGGCTGGGAACTCGAGGCAACCTGAGAAGGTTGGGAAGGTTGGGAATTCTGCTGGGACTGACAACAGTAGAAGATGCACCAGCAGCCGTGGCAGCACTAGCAGCAGCGCTAGTAACAATGCTGTGAGGTGCGGTGCTGTGAGGTGCAGAGGTAAGAAAAGGAAGCACCAGCGCTGGTGGTTGCCGATTAGGCAGCAGCAGCTGTTGCTGTGGTGGTTGCTGCTGCTGCAGCTGCTGCTGTTGTTGCGGTTGCTGCTGCTGTTGCTGTTGATATTGTTGCTGCTGCTGAAATTGCTGTTGGTAGTGTTTTAGCTGTAATTGCTGTTGCGGTTGTGGTGGGTGCTGGTGTGGTGGTAGTGGGTGCTGGTGGGGTGGAGGTGGGTGTTGGTGCGGTTGTGGTGAGTGCGGTTGTGGTGGGTGCTGGTGCGGTTGTGGTGGGTGCTGTGGCTGTCTTGGCACTAAGAGAGGAGGAACCTTCAGCAGCGGTTGCTCAGCGCGTCTTAGTTGACTTGCTTGACTCGGCTGAGTGGGTTGACTGGATTGACCAAATTGATTTGGTTGACTGGCTTGATTGGGTTGACCGGGTTGACTCGGCTGTATGGGTTGACTGAATTGACTTGGGTGACTGGGTTGAAGGCTTGGGTGACTGGGTTGACTGGCTTGACTGGCTTGACTGGGTTGACTGGTTTGACTGGGTTGACTGGGTTGATTGGGTTGACGGAGTTCACTGGCTTGACGGAGTTGACTGGGTTGACTAAACTGACTAAGTTGACTGGGTGGAATTGCAACCCTAGGAGACTGCACCAACGATGCCAGTGACTGTGAAAGCTGACCTGTCACACCCCCTTGCTGGTCGGTCAAAGGCGCCTGCTGACCTGTCCAGTTTGGAGCATGGGTACTATGTGGTGTGGAGGTGTGTGGTGCGGTGGTGTGTGGTTGTGTGTGCGTATGATAGCTTGCACAAGTTTGGGAAGTTTTGAGCTGATGTTGTGGGGAAGCCTGTTGGAAAAGTGGCTGCTGCTGATGCGTCTGCTGCTGCTGTGGATAATACTTCTGTTGCTGCTGATGCGGTTGTTGGTGATGGGACGGAGGGGCAGGAGGAGGATGAGAAGGAGGAGGATGAGCAAGGGGAGGAGGACTGGGGAGAGCGGAAGGAGCGGGTAATACCGGTGTGGGTGGAAGGCTGTAGCTGTGTGGCTGGTATGCTGGGTGGTGTTGGGGGGTGAGTGCGTGTGTGTGTGGCTGCTGCTGCTGGCTGTTTGGCTGGTTTGCTAGGTAGTGCTGTTGGGTGACTGTGTGTGTGTGCTGCTGCTGCTGCTGCTGCTGCTGCTGCTGCTGCTGCTGCTGCTGCTGCTGCTGCTGCTGCTGCTGCTGCTGCTGCTGCTGCTGCTGCTGCTGCTGCTGCTGCTGCTGCTGCTGCTGCTGCTGCTGCTGCTGCTGCTGCTGCTGCTGCTGCTGCTGCTGCTGCTGCTGCTGCTGCTGCTGCTGCTGCTGCTGCTGCTGCTGCTGCTGCTGCTGCTGCTGCTGCTGCTGCTGCTGCTGCTGCTGCTGCTGCTGCTGCTGCTGCTGCTCTTGCTGCTGCTGCTGCTGCTGCTGCTGCTGCTGCTGCTGCTGGTTGTGTGGCTGGTGTGCTGGGTGTTGCGGCTGGGTGTGTGTGGGGGGGCCGGGCTGATAGGCTGGAACCAACACATACGCTTGCTGATGGGAAAATTGGGGAGTGTAAGATTGTGGCTGGTATTGCTTCTGTTGCTGTTGCTGCTGCTGGTAATGCGGTAGCTGTTGCTGCTGCTGTTGCTGCTGCTGTTGCTGCTGCTGTGGCTGCTGTTGCTGTTGCTGGTACTGCTGCTGCTGGTACTGCTGTTGCTGTTGCTCCTGCTGCGGTTGCTGTTGCGGTTGCTGTTGCTGTTGCTGTTGCTGTTGCTGTTGCTGTTGCTGTTGCTGTTGCTGTTGCTGTTGTTGTTGGTGTTGGTGTTGGTGTTGCTGCTGCTGCTGCTGCTGCTGCTGCTGCTGCTGCTGCTGCTGCTGCTGCGGTTGCTGCTGCTGCTGCTGCTGCTGCATATACATTTGCTGGTGCTGCTGCAGCGTCGAACATACAGCAGCAGCAGCAGAAAGAGGATCAGGAGGAGCAGAAGAAGCAGCAGGAGAACCGAGAGGGAAATAGGAGGCCGAGGGAAGAGGAGCAGGAGGAGAAGCGAGAGAAGGGTGAGTTGCAGGAGGAAGCAGGGCAGTCGTAGCCTGGGCAGGGGTTGCAGGTAATGGAGCAACACCGGCAGCACCAGCAGCATCATAGGTGGAACCAAAACCAGCAGAAGCAGTGGCTGAACCAGCAGCACTGGCAGCAGCAAAGCTAGCGTCAAAACTAGCAACAGTAGCACCTGCACCACCAGCACATGAACCAGCACCACCATCACCATTGGCAGCACCGCTAGCAGCAGCACCATCGCCAGCAGCAGAAACAGCAGCAGTATTGTACATCCAGGGTACAAGCGTGTTGATTCGCTCCTGCAGCTGAGCCTGCATGGCCTCTATCTCTAGTTTCAACGCTGCCTTCTCCTGCCGCAGCTCAGACTTCTCACTGGCAAGCTGGAAGGGAAAGGAAGGCGAGCGGAGGGTGAGGCACAGGGGGAGAGGAGAAGCACATGGGCATTTGAGTCCCTCTCTCCTGTTGCTGTGCTTGCATGACCTCTATCTCTATCTTCAGTGCTGCCTTCTCCTGCTGCAGCTCCGACTTCTCACTGCCCAGCTGAGGGGAAGGGGCAGTGTGCGCAAAGGGGGAAGGGGGGGAGAGGTGGAGAGGAGGGCACGAGTGTGTTGATCCTCTCCTTCACTTGAGCCTGCATGGCCTCTATCTCCACCTTCAACGCTGCCTTCTCACTGCCAAGCTGGTGGATTGAGGACTGCGGAGAGGGTGAGGCACAGGGGAGAGCAGACGCACATCGCACATGAGTCCTCTCTCTCTCAAGCGGTCCGTGTATTAGATCTGAGCGGGTACAGACATGCACGTGGTTACATATAACATGCACGTGGTTACATATAACATGCACGTGGTTACATATAACATGCACATGGTTACATATAACATGCACGTGGTTACATATAACATGCACGTGGTTACATATAACATGCACATGGTTACATATAACATGCACGTGGTTACATATAACATGCATTCCAGCTTCTAAACCCCCCCGTCCTACTCACCCTCTCTCTCCTCCTAAATGAGCTCCAATGCCGGCTCCAAGTTGGCAAGGCGGTCCCAAAGGGACATACCTTCGCCTGGCACCCCTGCAGGTGGGTTTTCCACCTGAGCCGCGAAGTTACACTTCGTCATGAAGCTCACGGACTGAGCTCGCTGCCACCGACCACCTGTGGCGAAATTGATGCAGTAGTTTAGTAGCCTGGTAAGATGAGGGGGCCGCGTTGACGTGCCTGCGGGCGGCGGTGTTGGCTAACTTGAGAAATTGGGGAACCTCCGCGCACGGGCAGCTCAGCCTGCATCGTCTCTATCTCGAGCTTCAGTGCTGCCTTCTCCTGACGGAGCACATGGCACAGCATTGGCCCATGCAGCTGTACCGCATATTACCATGTTGCACGGTGCTGTGCCGCTTTGCACCCACCTCTTTGGACTCGTCCAAGAGAGCAGAGTGGTCGGACCGGAGGCGACAGGCGCTCAGCCTGAGCTGCCTGAGCATCACCAAGCCATCGCCCAGAATGGTCGCCTTGTCGTTCTTTGGCCGCTCGGGGTCTGAACATGCATGTGTGCATGCCACGCCATGCCACGCCATGCCACGCCATGCCACGCCATGCCACGCCATGCCACGCCATGCCACGCCATGCCACGCCATGCCATGCCGTTTGGGAAACGAAACGGTCGGGACCGGGGGAAGGGGAAGGGAAAGGGGGACAGAGAACGGACGAGAGGCGGGAATCGAAGATTGGAGAGTCGGAAGGGGAAGTGAGCGGGGAAGGGGAAGTGAGCGGGGAAGGGGAAGTGAGCGGGGAAGGGGAAAGCGGCGAACGCGAAAGCGGGAAGGGGAATGGGTGGCACGGTTTTGTGCTCAACGAGGAGGCGGAGGGAAGGGGGAATGCGGAAACGGGGAGGGGGAAAGCGTGAGAGCGGGGGAGGCGGAAAGGGGAGCTAGACGCGCGCAGCACGCCAGCGAGTGACGTGGAGGCGCATCGAAAAGGGGGGGAAACGGTTCAGCGGCGGGGGAGCGGAATGCGGAACCGGAATGCGCGGAAGCGGAAAGGCGCATGGGAGGGGGAAGCGAGACGCACTCAACACGCTCGCGAGCTCTCCGCGAATTGGCCGTTAAGGCGCATAGAAAGGGGGGAGCGGAAGGGGCAACGCGCATGGGAGGGGGGCGGAAGGGGAAAGGTGCATGGGAGGGGGGAGCGGAAGGGGAAAGGCGCGGCATGGGAGGGGGGAGGGGAAGGTTGAAAGGCGCATGGGAGAGGGGAGAGACGCACTCAGCACGGTCGCGAGCTCCGCGAATTGGTCGTTGAGGCGGTCGCGCCGCAGCTTCTCGCGGTCCGCCTTGTGCACCTTGCGCATACTCGTTGTAGTCGACCCCGTTAGTGGCACTAAAGCAAGATGGTGGATTTTTCCGGCTGCGCCATTTCCGCCTACACGAGCTCCCGCCGCCGCCGCCGACGCCGCCGCCGCTGCCGCGGATGCTGTTGTTACCATCAAACCTCCACCACTGCCACCGCCGTTTCTCGCCGCCGCGCCCGCCGTCGCTCCCCTCTTCCCCGCGTTTCCCTCTGCGGAGATTCCCGTCGATTCCGACTCGGCGTCGCGGCCCGGGTAACGCGCCGACGCCGGACTCGTCGGTCCCCAAAGCGCGCTTGCGAAATCGCGCGTCGCTTCCGCCGGTGCCCCCGGCGGCGGCCCGGCGGCAAACACGCCGCAGATTTCACCGTGAAGCCCGCCACTAATCGCGCCGTCGCAGAACTCAATCCGTGACGACTCTCTCTCTCCGCAGATGCCGGCTCCGCCTGCTGGGCCCATTAGGTTCAGCGCGACACTCGGCGGCGAATGCGGCGGTGAATGAGGCGGCTTCCCTGGGCTGTCCACGCGGGGTTTCTTTCCTCCTCCTCCTTCTCCTCCTCCTCCGCCGCCGCCGCCGCTCCCGCAGCCGCCGCCGATCGAGCAGAGACCGTCCGAAAAGCCGTACGAGCTGCGCTCGACGGAGCTGGTGCCGCCAGTAGCGCCGGAAACGCTCGTTGCGGCCGCGCCAGCAGCGCCGGCGTCCTTACTACCGTACGCACTACTAAAGTAGTAGCTGCCACGGCCGCCGCCACTTCCGCCGCCCCTTTCGCCGCAGCCGCCGTCCGCCGATGTCGGGCCCATGAATTCACGAGCAAAAACCGTCAGATTGGCAGCTTTCTGCGGACTACCTACCGGATCGTATGTGTGCCGCACGGTGGGACAAAAACCGCCCAGATTATGACCGATAATCCGGGCAGGAAAAAACCGCCACGTTGTCGAAAAACGAACAAGTTGAAGACGTCCCGCGGACAAATGAAACGGCTTCGTAACTACGGTACTATCATGACAGTATAGCATTCGCTGGTCCCAATGTCCCGAAGCGCCTTTTCAATCGTATCGTATGTGACGTGGTTTCCTATCGAAAAATCGGGCGCAATAAAAGTGGTCATAACGGTTCAACGCTCATGTTCTGAAGCAAAGCCGGCGGAAGAGGGGGTGAAGTAGTACTATTCTGAAGTAACAGCGGCGCGTTCCACTCTTTTCCTTTTCGAGGATTAACGGCGCGATCGTGTAATATTGTTTTTAGGCCGTGTCTTTTCCAGAGACTCTCAGTGCAGCATCAAATCGGAAGAGAACGTTTGACGTCTCGAGACTCTCAAGGAGAAGGAAGGGTCGGTTCGGAAAGAATGGCAGGCGCTCAAGGAGAGGCCTTGTTCCATGTGCCTCTCTTTGCGGGATATTTTGCTGCCACTGTCCAACAACAGAAACAGGACATGCTTCAGGAGGACATGCAGGCCAGGAAGAGCAGGGGGAACTGGAGGGAGCATGGTGGAACAAGATATTAGACGAACGGGACCGTCGAAAGCGCGACTGGCGCGTGCGCGGACACGAACCACACGCGAGCATCTGCGCATCCTCCTCTCGCAGCCGGAGCCGCGGAGCCACAGTCACTGGCGCGGGTGCGGGCGCGGGCGCGGCTGCAGACGCAGCCGCTTCGGCGGAAAACACGCTGGCATTTCTGCTGGTGAACAACTGGGCTTAGGCGGCGCACGTGAGGCACATCTACTCCACGCCATTTCCGCCCGCCCAAATATATCGCGCGTCATCTCGAACCTACGGTAAGTCCCACGCCAAGCCTGAGAGCTGCCTACCGGGCCTAGTTTACTTGACGAGCCTACGCTGCCCCCGCACAGAGCTAGTACAGAAGGACTGCCAGAGCTGCCCAGAAGGGCTGCTACCGAACCGACTCGAGCCAGGTTCTGAAGGACAAGAGGACAACATTTTCATACCAACCATCCCGCACCAGGCATGAGGAAGCACCTACAGAACCTAAACCCTAGTCGCCGTGGCGGAAAAGGGGGAAACGGTTGGGGACGGGACGGGAGAGGCGGGAGGAGGTGAGAGCGGCGGGGGGAGGAGGCGCGGTAGGGGAGGGGAAAGGTTGTGGAAAAGTGGGAGTAGGGTAAAGAAAGGCCAAGCGGAAGGGATGTGGTGGGTTGGGGGGAAAGCGGAAGAGAGAAGAGAGGAGGGGGAAGGGGGGGTATGGAGGAGGATAGCAAGAAAGAGAGAGACCTTAAAACCGGGGTGCACATTCAGCTGAATGTGCATCAAAGGTTATCCCTTGACTGAGTGGGTTACGAGGTGTGCTTTCAACCCCTTCAAGTCGAAATTCGTTTCCCCCCTCCCCCGCAATTTCGTTTCCCCACGCCCCCGCAATTTCATTTCCCCCTCCCCGTCGAAATTCGTTTCCCCCCTCCCCCGCAATTTTGTTTCCCCCCTCCCCCGCAATTTCGTTTCCCCCCCCTCCCGCCAATCTGTTTCATCCCTCCCGCCATTCGGTTTCACCCACTCCCGCCATTTCACCCCCTCCCGCCACCTACGAAATGCCCGAAGCTCTAGCGGAATCATTTTTTTGTCGCCCCTCGTGAGCCAATCACTGTTTTTCTCCAAACCCCCTTCCCAACATCTCAAGCCGAACCGCGTTGAATGTGCACCCTGGTTTTAATTCAACACGATCCGTGCACAGTGCAGTCGTGTGGGGGAGGAGCGCGTGCGCTTAGCAAGCCGCGACAAGACTGGGCATTGGATCCGCTTTCCTACGGTCCATAAACAACGAAACGTGGTTGGATGCTGGATATCCGTCGCGCAGGAAGGCGCGGAACGGGAGACAAGGGGAAGGCGGAAGCGGAGTGGGGCTCGGGGGATGCACCATATGGAAGGGGAATGAGTGGATGAGGTGGTGGGGAAGGGAAAAAGGGGAACAAAATGTGGTTGTGCTTTGGTGGACAACTCCGCCGAGCCCAACGACGCGGCGCGGGGAATTGACTTGGGGAGACGGAACCATCCGCGATGCAGGGAGAACCACTTTGGATTGGTGGACTGTGGCTGGTTGTGTTTTGGCGAGTTGGCAGCGGGGCATGCATTTGGTACAGTAAATGGTTGAGTATTGAAACAGACAAGATTCGACGTTAACGTCGGATGGGTTGCGTAGTTGTCACATTCATATTTTACAAAACACGAGGACAAGCAATTTAATGTATTTATATAGCACCAAGTTTTAACTTTTATGTATTAATGAATATAGCAAGTCTAGTTACTTCTTGATTATGAAATAATGTGTTAGTTTATGATTCCATTGCTAAACCATGGGTGAATAGAACAATTGAGTGTCTTTTTGATAAGTAGTTTATAAAATTTAGTGAACAACTATGTTTTATATCTTCAATAGTATATTTTGTAACACTATACTATCCGGTTCTTGCTCTAGCAAAAGTGTGGTTCAAATTGAACTGTTTTCCAGCTCACACAAATTTCACGTGATTATCCGTGTGTGTTCTCACGTGGCACCAGCGTTTGGTTTTTGTTTTGAATTCCAAGTGCCCAAGTTCTGTGCTGGCTTTCAGATTGCCCCAACGTTTTCGTTTACTGTAGTTTCTTGTTTGGCACTCCCTCCCACCCCGTCATCACTTCTCCTCCCCCACCAGCTGTTGCCTCACCCTCCCACCCACCACGTCATCGCCTCTCCCTCCCACCCACCTTTCCATCGCTACTCCCTCCCACCCCGCCATCCTCTCTCGATTCCAGCCCCCCTTCCCCTCTCCCTCCCACTATGCCGAGGCCTCTCCCTCCCTCCCGCCGTCGCCTCTCCGTTCCTCCCGCCGTCGACTCTCCCTCCCTCCCGCCGTCGCCTCTCCCTCCTCCTCGCCGTCGCCCATCCCTCCTCCCCGCCGTCGCCTCTCCCTCCTCCCTGCAGTCGCCCATCCCTCCTCCCCGCCGTCGCCTCTCCCTCCTCCCCGCCGTCGCCTCTCCCTCCTCCCCGCCGTCGCCTCTCCCTCCTCCCCGCCGTCGCCCATCCCTCCTCCCCGCCGTCGCCTCTCCCTCCTCTTCGCCGTCGCCCATCCCTCCTCCCCGCCGTCGCCTCTCCCTCCTCCCCGCCGTCGCCTCTCCCTCCTCCCCGCCGTCGCCTCTCCCTCCTCCCCGCCGTCGCCCATCCCTCCTCCCCGCCGTCGCCTCTCCCTCCTCCCCGCCGTCGCCTCTCCCTCCTCCCCGCCGTCGCCTCTCCCTCCTCCCCGCCGTCGCCTCTCCCTCCTCCCCGCCGTCGCCTCTCCCTCCGCATCACGGTCGCCTTTCCCCCCCATCCGCCGTCGCCGCTCCCTCCTCCCGCCGTCGCCGCTCCCTCCCATCCCGCCGTCGCCTCTCCCTCGCATCCCGCCGTCGCCTCTCCCTCCCATCCCGCCGCCGACTCTGTCGACAGGTCACGAGCAAGCTGGTGCGCGAGTGGGAGCCGGTGCGCGAGCGCGGGTTTGACTCTGCACCGTGAATTGCAGGTGCGTTTACCTTTCCCTGTCCTTTTTTCCTCCCTTCCCCCTACTGAAAGGTCCTATATTTCCGATTTTTCCTATCGTATTTGTAGTTTCTGTGTGTTGATTGGTCTCTTGCGTTGCACTACTATTTGAAGAGGGGGGAGAGGGAGCGCGAGGGAGCGAGAGCGCAGGAGAGTGCGCGCGTGAGAGCTAAGGAAGCACTAGAGGGAGAGGCGCGAGAGAGAGCGCCGTGCGCGCTTGCGCCGTCGGCGCGGGCCCTATTGGCGCTTGTGCCTAGCCCCTTGCGCTTAGGGCGCTGGGGCCGTGGGCGCAAGCGCCGTGGTTGCTGGCGCCTAAGGCGCTTGCGCTTATGGCGCAGACGCCTTGGCCGCTTGCGCCTAAGGCTCTTGCGCCATGGGCGCTGGCGCATAAGGTGCTTGCGCTTAGGGCGCTGGCGCCGTGGGCGCTTGCGCCGTTGGCGCGGGCTCCGTGGGTGCTAGCACCTAACGTGCTTGCGCTTAGGGCGCGAGCGCCGTGGGTGCTGCCCCATGAGGCGCTGGCTCTGTGGGCGCTTGCGCCGGGGGCTCTGGCGCCTTGGGCGCGAGCGCCGTTTGTGCTGGCGCCTAAGGCGCTGGTGCAGTGGGCGCGGGCGCCGTGGGCGCTTGCACTTGCTGGCGGCTTGGGCACGGGCGACGTGAGGGCGAGACTTGGATGTGCACGTGCACTTGCGGGTGAGTGCGGTTGTGAGTGCAAGGGCAAGTGCGAGTGTGAACGAGAGAGCAGGTGCGAGCGTAAGCGCGAGTGTGAGTGCGAAAGCAATTGTGGGAGTGAGTGCCAGGGCGAGTTTGAGGGTGAGTACGAGTGTGAGTGTGTGTTAGTGCAAGGGGGAGTGCGAGGGTCCGTTTGAGTGTGTGCTAGGGTGAGTACGATGATGAGTGCAAGAGTTTGTGTGTGTGTTTCTGTGATTGTCGAAGAAGAGTTGAGAGTACATTACAT